TTATTCCATAATTTAGGGCTTTTCAATAATCGTTAATTATTTCCCTTTTAGTTATTCTTAGATTATGTTAGAGTGTGTGTTAATTATGCGTTATCTCCTTTGATTGCACGTAAATATAGTTATTTACTTTTTTTTGTTATTTTATTTTGACTACTTAAGGCTTGGAGAACCCTATTGTTATTTGGTTCATAAAATTCAAAAAAGAGAAATAGCATTTTCTTGCAATCATTGTTTTCAGTCTTTCTTTCCGTTTAGGCAATGATTTACTGTTTCAGCAATAGTTACTGTCACGTAACTTTTTAATTCAAACACGAAAAATGAAAAGAAATATATATATATATATATATATATATATATATTGTAATCATCAATTGTAAAATTCAATGTTTTGTTAAAAACATAGTGGGTTAAAGAAAAATAACATTTTCATACATCAACATCAGACATCATAATTGGAAAATTATAAATTCTAAAACACAATGCTCTGATACCACATGTTAGTTTTATTTTTTTCACGTTAAAACATTAAATAAAAAGAACACAAATAAAGATCTTAAGAATTCATGATTTTCACATTGTTATGTTTATGTCAAGATGCACTCATATTTGTCCATGATCGCGGAAGATTATTTGTTCTTCAAATGCTCTTTCTTGAAACCTTTTTCAATCTCTTTACCCTCTTTAATGCGCTCTCCCTTGTTGATGGAACACTTGAGGCGTCTCTAATGATCAGAGAATGAATGAACAAATTTATATCTTTTATATAAATTTTGTATCCAAAAGATGTGACTCTTCAGATCCAATGGATATGACTACTCCCATCAAGCACTCGAGAAATCTCTTCCCAAAAGTCATTTGCTAATGATCATTTAGCTCCTTCATTAATTATTAAATCATATGCATTTATCACAAACACATAAGACATTTCTTACATACTCTTGTCAAATGTGTACCTCAAAATGACCAGTTTTCTTATATTCAAACAACACCATATGACCAGGATCTAATGAGTAATATGTAGCAAATTATTTCCAACCCTTTTCAAGCCAAATGTCACAATCATATATACTGAAAAATACTTCACATTCAGTGTCATCTGGAGGCGGGAGAAACAATGGGTTTGACATGTCACCACCATATTTCCTAATGAAACTTTTTGGAATCTTCTTCAAAAAACTTTCTGTTAGAACGTATAGTTAAAGGAACATCAATTAAAGTGCCACTGTTTGATATATTTTTTATCCAAATACAACATGAACAATCAGTGGCGGAGCCACGAACAAGCCCGGGCCTAAATTTTAATAAATTGTACTTACTATATATAATTATATAATTAATTATTATTTGGTCCAGATTAAAATTATAATTTGGTCTGGGGTAAAAATTAAAATATATTAAGTGAGAGTCTGAGAGATTTGGATAAATTGTATTAGGTCATGTGTTCTATTTTTATTTATATAAAAAAATTAAAATATATCTAATAAAATTAAAAAATATTATAAAAAGCCTAGTGGGCACTTTGTACAGAAAGCTATACGACAAACAAGAGCTTTTCTTTCCTTATCTCTCAGTTTCAATTTCAAATCTAGCTTTCTTCTTCCTTCGATTCTTCACATCAGCAGCGCTCTGGACCTCTGGTGGTGCCTCTTGATTATTTTAAGGTGAGGCACACTCTCTCTCTAAATATTATTATCAATTTTTACAAGATCCATGTTGGAGGCTGGAGCGTTGTTGAGCATTGTGATTCAAAATTTGCAAAATAAAAATAAAAAATGTGTGATTCAAATGCATCTGAAAATTTTGAGTATTAAAAATGAGGAACTATTGTATGATATTGGTTTATTTTTTTCTGGTTTACAGCTTGCGAAAAATCTGCAATTTTTTGTTGTATTAGTGATATATGAAATGAGGAACAACGGAACTATACGGCATCGACATGGACCTTTTAGTTTTAAAAATCTGCACTTTGGTATTAAAAATAAGGAACTATACGACACTTTTTGCATTGGCTTGATTAGGGAAATGGATTAGAGTCAATAGACACCAAGTTTATTTTTGGCCCGGGCTACAACGGGAGGCTGGCTCCGTCACTGTAAACAATACTATTTATTTGATTATTACATGTCGAAGTTTGCTACGACTGGTAACGAACTTTTTCACCAATAATTTTATGACATTTGACACACTTTTGCAGGAAAAACTGACTAGACTAAGTTCTCTATAAGTGATAGCGAACTTGGTACACTATGTGGCACACAAATAATATCATGTGTCACAAAATCATTAGCGACGAAGTTCGCTACCATTCATAGCGAACTTCGACGCCTGACAGTATGGTAAAAATACTATTTGCGTGATATTTGTGTAAAAAATTTGTCAAACAGTGACACTGTTTTATAGTTAATTTCATAAGCATAAAAGAAATATTCAAATGTACCTCATAATAAAAATCCAAAAAACAAAAAAATACAGGGAGAAAAAAATGAGATGAAGTAAAGAATGTTTACAAGTTTTCCATCTTCGAGACTTTCTCTAAGAATTATCTTGAAGAAAAGGATTGTTGTGGGGAGAGGATGGTTACTAATGGATGTTGGTGTATACTTTAATTCCAATTTCTTTGTGTGTCTGGTTACTGGCAACAACTAGTAAATTTTATTATGTGTGATTAGTTGAGTCAAATAGTAAATTTTATTGCCTTTACGAAATATTGGTCAAAATTTTGCATTACTGCGAAACTTTATTTGGTTATTTTGTCTTTTCTCCATTTAATTGGGATACATATTTTGATGTTATAGAAAATGAAAGTATGTGAAATTTATGTGCGCTATAAAAAATGATCTGGATCCCACGTATTTTTATATATGTGTTAAAAATAAAATTATCTCGTACGATACGAGAAATATTAATTTCATTAATTATTTTGACCATTTCAATGTGTTCCATTTCAAGTCTCATTCAATTGTTTTTTGTTCTAATTCTTCTTTTATTTTTTATTGTCGGCCCTACTTACAGTTGCATGCACTCACAAGCTAATCTTCCCAACTTCATCACTTCTGCGATGGGATAACTTGAGGATTCATTTAAAGGTTTAATATATCTTCTAGAATTTAAAATGATGTTGTTTTAAGATTGATAACAATGTAATTTTGTAATTTTAATTTATTTTAGTATTATATATATTAATTTTTATTATTTTAATTTTTTAATATTCCAACCCAAAACAACATTATTTTATGCTTAATAGAGATAATTTTATCTCTAGTGACTGGAAAAACATTAAACCCTTTATTTAATTGTTATTGTTATTTTTTTCAATATCTAAATAGTTATTTCTTTTTTCACAAACAAATAATAATTTATTAAAATTAATAAAATTAGGTTATTATGAATAAAACAAAAAGAAGAAGAAAAGAAATCCTACATTTTTTAATGTGGGGCATGTAATATCTGAAATAATACATTTATATCACTCTCTGTAAAAAAAAAAAAAACAATATTTTATGTTCATTAGCAGAGTTATATAATTTGAGGTGATATTTTTCTCTTTGGAAAGACATTGATATCATTAAGTATTTTTATTTTATTTTATTTTTTTGATAATTTAATGATGAACAATCATGTAATGTATAAATATAAATTTTAATTATGTCAATTATTTAAAATTTGTCTACAAGAAATATTTTTACAAATCCAAACCGGGCAAGTCAGGTAATCTATGAACCAGAAGATATATTAAAAAATGTTATTTTTTATAATTAAAATAAGTTTTAAATAAATATTTTGACATTATTAAATTTAATGTTTATTTTTCACTCATTGAATGGGGATGAGTTTGATACTTTCACATAAAAATAAGGATGAGTACTTACTTTCTACCATATTTTTTTGTCTTTTAATTTTTAATTAAATAAATTTTAAAAAATAAATTGTAATGTCGCGTGTCGATCTGGTTCATTACTCATTAATGTATCATAACAACGAGTTTATTTCCGATACAATTGATGTATGGAATGGATAGAAACAAATATAAAGATAAGAATAATGTACATTTTTTCCATATTTAATAAATGATGCACCGAATACACAGTGAAGTACTGAAAATATTTTCCATTACAACGACATACCTTAAAAGCGGAAATGTACCAACAACATTAAAATTTCATGCCGAACGATCCTCTATGATAGTTGATGCTGTACTAGAAGACTCGCGTAAGCCTCTTGTTATTACTAAAATTGTGGTGGTTATTACATAAATATCTAAATGATTTATCAATCAGTCACACGCACATCATTAAAATATCACAATTGCCAATTTTAGGCGACCAACAGAAAACAAAATATTGGCTGTGCATAAACAATTAGAATTTGGGAGTGTAGTTAATATCCACGAATTCTAAATTCGGGCATATGAAACTAGACATCTCGATTTTTACAATGATATCTTATATGCAAAATTTTGACTACAAACTAAAGAGGAAAATCGACCAAAAGTGCCATTATTTAGAAAAATATTTATTCATTGCGAATAGTATTTTTTATCAGACTGTCACGCAATATAATTTGTTTGTTATGATGGATAGCGAATTATGTTCTTCAATGATTTTTTTGACAAATGTCACATTTTCGTGGTTAAAAGCTAACTAGACAAAATTCGTTATTAGTACTAACAAATTTGGTACGTAATGTGACTACATATCACGAAATTATATACACACATAATTCATTATCAGCCATAACAAATTATATGGCGTGATAATCTAATAAAAAATAATATTCGCTTAGCACTTTGGTTGAATGAGATGTAATTTTTACGAAGGGGTATGTTTTTCTCATGTTACATGAGATAACATACCCCTCCTAGTCATACATCAAAAGTCGTGTTAGCTTTTATTTATTTTTTTACTTTTTTTTAAAGAGTAGGTCCTATATATTTTGAATCTATGGCATGAGATAGCAAGTCTCATGGTATTTCCCTTTTACGAAATATCCCTGGCAGGCACTATTCATTTCATTGTCTTCCAGTCTCCCTGTCCAGCCAGCAAACCAGCGTCCTGCTCCCTTCCATGTGCAAGTTTTTCTTCTTCAATTCTAAACATCAAAACACTAAACACTGAACATGAAACTTGTAGCCTAGATCATTGTGAACAAAACCCATAAGCCATTTTACCTTGGAAAGCTTAGAATCAAGAGATTTTCTCATCTTCCCCTTCGTGGTACTGTTCATGGCCGAAAATAAATGTTGAATTTTGGTTGATTCAAGGCTTGGAGGTTGTTCTTTTGGAGGCTTAGGACTTGGGTGAGGTAAGAAACTACATTTTTATTGGTGGATTCTTTTGAGTTTCAAGTGAGGGTTTCATGAACAATTTTTGAGAGAATGGTGAAATTGCAAGAGCATGAATGGTTGATTGAGTGTTGAAGGAATGTGTTCATGTATGGTTATAGTATGTATAAAAGCATGTGATGTTAAAAGTTTGAAAGATTCTCATGAAACCACCAATGTGCATTTCGGCCTTCATGAGTAAAAATAAGGTTCAAGTGTGTTCCATGTTGTATTAATGATGTTAAGACTCATTGTATATTGTGATATTGGTTGCGGAGTGGTTTGAACCAAGTAAAGGTTGTAAATTTTTTTGAAAACCTTCATGAACCCTATATATACCATTTTTGGCCTTCATGTAATTTTTGGGTGTGGAAATTGTATTTTGAGTTCTTTTAAAGAATGGGGAACATGTCCTAGGTGTTATTATACTAAATGGATTGATTGGTTAGTTGAGGAATTCATAAAAATGTGGTGAATGGCCTATGACACTAATTAGGCCATATGTGTCGAAAATTAGGCGAAAATGTGTTTGAATGTTGTTTAAGGGATGTGTATGACCTATGAGCTAGGTTAAGGTAATTAGACTAATTAATTAGTCATTTGAACCATGAGAACTCATAATAACCCTCTAAGATACCCTTTAGGCCATTTCTTTGGAAATAAGTAACTGAAGTTGTTTAATTCGGCATTGGCACTAATTAATAGTCATTGGGTAGTATAATGAAGGTGAACTAATTGGTAACCATTGGAAAGCATAGGAAATTGATGGAACTCCCTAGGGTGTGGTTCGGCCATGCTAGGGGAATACATGTTGAAAATAAATATAATTCATGTTGTTTTAAAGGATGTTGAAGGCCTATGGAATATCTTGGAATAGGATGAACTAAGTTGTTGGCCACTTGAAGCTTGGTATATGTTAGATGCCCTAAAATGTTTGGTTTGGCCATTGTAGGGCAAATATGTTTGAAAATTATAAAATGGTAATTGATATCTAGGAGGTACTCTTATGTCATCTCCTAGGGATCAATTATAAAACTTGAGGATTTTGAGGGAATTCAAAATTTTGACCAATGTCTCGTGAAGGTAATAAAATCTTACTATTTGACTCAACTGATCACAGATCATAAAATCTACTAGTTGTTGCCACTAAGCATACACACAGAGAGAGGGTGGAAAACAAGTAGCAACATCCATGAGTAAGCACCCTCACCCCACTCCAATCCTTTTCTTCAAGATTATTCCTGGAACAAGTCTTGCAGATGGAAAGCTTGTAAACATTCTTTCCTTCAACTCCTTTTTCTCTCCGTATATTTTCATTTTTTTTTTTTTTTGGATTTTTATTGTGAGGTACATTTGAATTTCTCTGTTATGCCTGTAACTTCATTATGCATGCTAACAGAAAGTTCTTTGCAGAAGATTCCATACAATTTCGTTAGGAAATATGGTGGTGACATGTCAAACCCAATGTTTCTCAAACCTCCAGATGGCACTGAATGGGAAGTATTTTGGACTAAACATGATGGTGATATTTGGCTTCAAAAGGGTTGGAAAGAATTTGCTACATATTACTCTCTAGATCATGGTCATTTGGTGTTGTTTGAATACAAGCAAACTTGTCATTTTGAGGTACACATATTTGACAAGAGTACCCTTGAAATAGATTATCCTCTGCATGTCTCTCAAGATGTACAGTACAACCTTGACCAGATCAGTGATGATGACTCAGTTAAAATTTTAGATGAGATACCACCATGCCATAAGACTAGACAAAAATCACCAATGCCTTCTCCTCAACCATGTAAAAAATCAAGAACTGGCGCAAGTGGAGATGTTAAGAGAAGATCCACAGAGCAAAACTTGCCTCAGCATGTCCAAACTGAAGGCACAAACTTTGAGAAGTCTAAATTTTCATCTGTAAAGAAAGAATCGGATGGTATGTATCTCATGATTGGATTATCCTTTTCATTTCATTTCATGTATTTCATGAGTTTTTGTGTTCATATTTTCATAACATACCCTTGTTCATGAAGCTTTAAACCAAGTCACAGTTAAATTCTAAGTTGGTCTTTCTTTCAAAGTATTATTTTGTTTGATCTGCATAGAAATGGTTGTAACTTTCTTCCTTAGAATCAGTTCAAGGAGAGGGAATCAATTGGCTAGACCCTCAGAGAGTTGTGGATGTTGAAAATACAACTGTTGTTACCAGAAAAGGTAAATCTTAAACATCAATGCTGTGTGACCAAGTGGTAGTTAATATCTTATTACTCCTTATGAAAAGCTAAAGTTAAAATACAAATATAGATATTTTAAAATTGTGCAGAGTGAATCCTTTAACTAAGTGGTTTTGTTGCCATGCCACAGGTGAGAAGGCTACTCACTGCCCCTTCACAAATGGAGCACTGAATGAAGCTAATAAATTTGCCTCAGAAAATCCCTTTTTCACAATCAATATTAACTCGGGAGTTAGACCGGTGAGGTTAAGTTAAGCACTGACCAAATTAAATACATATATCTGTATGGAAAATTTATACCAAGGAAGCAGCAAGCTTCTAGTTTTTGTTGTACTTACATTAACTGTTAGGTTAGGCTGTGATCTCATCATGGTGATGAAAATATAACTTGATGCAGCATGTACCAAGAGCCTTCATCAAAGAGTGCTTGAATAACAAGACGCAGATTGTGAAGTTACAATTTGGAAAGAAATTGTGGCCTGTAAAGTTGCTTGGTTATCCACGCAACAATGGCATATTGTCTAGTGGTTGGTCCCAATTTGCAGGAGAAAGTGAATTGTTAGGTGGAGAGCTTTGTGTCTTGGAGCTCATCAATAGAGAAGATGCAGTGCTTCGTGTTCATATTTTCAGAGGCCACTGTTAGACAATAAAATTGGAGCTGTTTGCATTTGTTATCTTAGCTCTTAAAGATGTATCGTTCCTCTCGAATGCGGTGGATTATGATTTGGAATGTTATTTTTGAATAAATTAAAAATATATTTGGTTGGCATTTAATGCTTGTAATTGGTTGCTAAGGATAAATAGGTTTTAATTTCGTTTATCTAAGTTAGCATAACAAATCGAGACTTAAATTACATCCTTGAAGGCTGAATTTCCATATAATTTCGTTGCCTTGAGACTCGAAAGACTTCGTTCAGTCATCTCAAAAGCTCCATATCTAGAGTTGTATTTAACCTAAAATTTCGAATTTGGTGCATAGATTCAGGTGTCTAGTTTCTGAATCCAGAGTCCTAGAATTTTCGGAAAAAGGGGCTGATCCTAATTTTTAAAAGATCAAAGGCTAAGGAAAATTTGTAATTCGTTCTCCGGGGTGTTTGGTAGGAAGTTTTAGGGGGAGTTTGGTAGATGAGAAATTTTTATTTATCCAAGAAAAATTATTACTAGAATATAGCAAGAAATATATTTTATTGGAACATTATTAAAAAACTGTTTGGTACATTCATATTTTCTCGGAAAGATGAAGTTAATTTTACTGAGTTTGTGTTTGGTTGGTTATGAAATTTTAGTGGGAATGTGAAGTTATTTTACGAAAATAACTTCATCTTTACCTTTTCATTCAAAACATAAGGTCATTTTGGTCTTCTTTTTTCCGCTTCAGTTTCCTTTTCCTGGGGAAGCCAACAATTCCATATTTTAATTGGAAATTTTCCTTCGCAACTTCAACCACATTTAACACTCAAGACCATTTTCCTGGAATGAAGTGTAGCCCAAGAAAATTTCAGAATCTCGCGTACCAAACGTGGTATAACTATTTCTCCGTCTCAGCTTTCCCATGCATTCTCATAAAAGTCGCGTACCAAACGCGCCCTTAAAAAATTTGCTTATCATTCAGATTTGCATAACAATCACAGTTTGTGTGTGAAAATGAAAAATTTTGCCATCTCATAATACCACCTAAAGGGTGGTATTCTTATTACCCCATCAAACTAAAAAGTAGGGAAAAAAGCAATGGGCATAAATATCCCTTCTCAAAAAAAGTGCCAAAAGAAAGTTAGAGAGAGTCTTCTTTGTATTTAGTCAAGGATTAGTTTGGTAACTTCATCCCATTTTTTCATCAATATTTTACCTTCAACTAAACATAGACTCAGAAAATTTAACCCAATTTTTCTGATAATATTTCGGCCCATCAAATAACTTTTTTTTCAACTTTCCCAACATATTTCTAATAATTGTATTTTCTGGTAAAAAAAAAATTCTTCTATCAAACGCTCCCTTAAGGGTTTTAAAAGACAAAAGGTTGACTTTGACTCTTACACTCATCAAATTGCATATTAAATATTAAGTTTAACTCACTTAAAATCTAATGTTTTCATTTTATCTAACTTAATAAATATTATTTTCATGACATTAAATTCCCTAAATAATTATTTTATTGCATCATAATTGAGTTTTGGCTAATTTTTGTATAATTATAATTTGGTCCTCAAACTTACCAAAATTATAATTTGAATTCAAATAGTTATATTCTTGATCCTAAATGACTTGTTTTGCATGAATTGGACTTCCATTTATAAAAATCTCATTTTTTGAGTTTTCCAATAAAATTTGTACAATAACATTTTTACCCGTTAAATTTCATTATTCATACATTTTTCATAAATGTCTAAAATCTCAAATTTTTATTTTAACCCATTTCCACCATTATTATCACCAACATAATCCTTCATTATTTGTTTTATTTGTTAGGGTTATTATAATACCTGCACTTAGGGGTGTGCAAAAAAACTGGCTCACTTGCCCTGCCATTGATCTGACCTTGACCTAACCTAAAAATACCTATTTTTTTAACTGGATTTAAATACTGACCCACTTTTATTTGGGTCATTTTTAGACTTGACTTATTTAATAATTGACTCATTAACCCAAAACTTGACCCATACCCATTATATGAAAAAGAAAATAAAATAAAAAATGACAATCTCAGTTCCTGTTTAAACTGTATTATATTTTTGGAAAACACTGTATTTTATGTATACACACACAACACACGAGATGAGTGGATATTATATGACATAAACATGACGATAATGTTCTAAAGTTTCAAATTATGTAATGATATCCACACAAGATGACCAAGGCAATAAAAAAAATTGTTACACTTGTGTGAATAAAATACACTCATTAATGTGAAAGAATTAATTGATGACTATAATCTATTATCTAACAATGATTTATACCTCTGATTAATTTACATAAAAATAATGTGTATTAGTATCTGGGAAGAAGTTTTTAACTTGTAGTTTTGATATCTGATGGTGAAAGAGGAATTGTTAAGAACTCAGAACCAACTTGTTCAGAATGCTGAAAATATTCACGAGGAAGATGATTGTTCTGATTAGTGGGTGGATTAATTGTTGCTGTTAGAGGGCTAAACATCTGATTTGAAAGTGGTGGAGAAGCAGAATTAGTATTCAGACTTTTATCATGTAAATCATCCATCCATTTACTTGTACTTCCTGCTAACTCCCTCTTCTCTCTCTTCTATTTCCTTGAGAAGAAAATCAGCCCACATATTTGCAAAGCATTGAAAGGAGAATAAGAACTTATTCAAATCTAAATTCGTGATATGAAAAACTCGTCAAAGTTGATTGAGTTAAATGTGACAAGACCAATATACAGTGCAACATTCGTAAAGAGCATATATGGATAATAAATAAATTACATGAGTTTAAAAATTAAATAAAAACTATAAAAAAATCAAATTAAAAATAGGTTTTGAAACCAAGTCAGAAATGGGTCAGGTCGGATTTGATCCGATTTTGAAACCAAGTCAGACCCACTTTAGAAATTCAATTTTGAACTAGTTCAAAAAAATTCAAACCAAGTCAGGCCTGACTTGGATCAATTTAAAGCGGGTCGGGTCAAAATACCTGATCTATAAAAACTAAGTTGGGTCGGGTCGGCACAAAAACCTGACCCGACCTGACCTATGCACACCCCTACCTGCATTCGTGGGAAATGTTCTCAAAACAGAAATATTTTTTCAGTTGCAAAATGGTTCACAGGAGTTCATAGTTCAGTTAACGGGCTTGGGGATGGAAGGTCAAGCTTCAACATGATATGTCAACGGATGTATAAGGTCAAGCTGGCACGATTCATTACAATGTATTGCAATCTTGAAAACATTGTTCTATATTTATATGTTTAAGGGTGTGATCATTTTAAGGCTTGTGAAGTTATTTTTAGAAAACTAGATTAAAAAACATATTATTTTACCAACAACCATTGGTAGATTTTTCTTCTCCTAAACCACAGGTCTCGAGATCAAGCTTTGAGTATGAAGAAAATAATCTTAGGATAGTCATTCCATAGAAAGTACGGACACAATAAAACATATGAAGAGTAGGTTGTTGCGATTACGGCAAATATACCGATCGTTCAAGTAATAAAAATGATAAGAAAGTATCGTTCCCACGAGGATTAATGCACCAAGTATTAATATAACTAGTCCCCTTAATTTGGAAAATTCGATTTGGTTGAGAAAATAGATTTTGAAACAAAATAAAAGTAATTAAATTTAATTGCAGTGAAAATCAAGAACATTCAAGAATAATCAAGAATGCAGAAAAGATATAAGTAAATATTGTAAAGAAATTGTAGTCAGGATACACTTCACCTTAGATCCTCCTAGAGTAGTTAAATTAAATTCAATAATTCATCTCAGATATTTCAGGCAATTCATCTTCTAGAAATAGTTGGTTAAATCCTAATGTCTTAGTAACTTTAACCCTTTACTCTAATTAGAATCATAATGTCTTAGTAATTCCTCTTAGAATAAGCATTAAACACAATGAATTATGAAGTCTACAACTCAAGCAAGCCTATGTCTAGATTATGCAAGAATTGATATTTTACCCCTGTTAGGATTAAAACCTCAATATGTCTATTGTGAACCCTAGCCCTCAAATCCCTATAAGAGTGATCAATTCATACAAGGATATAGAAATTCATACAAGGATATAGAAATTCATGCAAGGTAAAACACAAATAACTGAAATAATTTATTAAAGAAACAAATTTAAACCAGAAATAGGATTCACGTCGGATCCATGATCCTAACTACAAAAGAAAATTAGCCAGACATAACTAGCTTAAACAAAATAAAGAAAGAAGAAGAAATCATAAAGAAGAAGAAGAATCAATGTTGTTCAGTCTCCTTCAAGCTCATTTCTCTCTGAAATCTCCAACTCTGGTATCCGGTGTTCTCCTCTTTCCTCCCTGTCTGCTTGCCTCTGTCGAATTCCTTTGTGTTTCCAATAGTTGCCTTTTTATAGGGATGAAACCATATCTTTTATTTTACATATTATCTTCAATGGAATCTTCACTAGAATCTCTAATCATATCTTTGATCCAATCTTTCAAATCTTCCCCTTTTTTATTTAATGGAAAACTTTCCTTAAAAAAATTCAAAGAAAGATTTGATAAGATCTTCAATGATTCAGAAATCCAAAGCAACTCTACTTGATCTCTCCAATTTATCTCTTTATTGAGCTGAAATTTACTGCAAGAATTAAGAAATTTTATGAGAATATTATTGAGAATAAAATAACAATTTAATTACAATTCTCATAACTTTTAATTACTTTTAAATTAATTTCATGCTCATATTGATCCTTAATACATAATAAATTGGAGACTCATGATAGGTACTCGACATGCGTTGGACACAATATATGTCTGACATGCGTTCAAAGATTTTTGACACTTTGATCAAACAGACATGCGTGTTTAATCGAGTCGCTAACAAGATCAAATAACATTTTTTTTGTAAATAAAATCATAATTTTTCAAAAATTAAAATAAAGGATCAAATGAAAGTGTTTATCTAGTATTTCTCTATTAGCCGGAGATGGAGATGGAGATGGAGATGGAGTCAGGTGTTTTTAGATACAGATGATAGTTCTCAAAATGCTCCATTAAATGAAAGCGTAATATTACTCTCATGTAACATGAGAGTAGTTCTCTCATGTTACAGAGAGAATCCAAGTAAGGCCTGCTATTTAAAAACAAAAGAGAAAAATAAAAAAGAAAGGGCACGATTTCTGAAGTGAGAGAAAAGAATATAACTACCTCATGTAAAATGAGAGTAATATTTCCCTAAATGAAAATAATTATACTTTAATGGTAACATAGTCTATATAATTTATAGTTTTCTATGGATATTCTATTATTTTTTCCTTTCTATTAATGTAATGGAATTATAGAAATGATTTTTTTTTTGAATTTTTTTTTGTTCAATTGAAGAATATAGTTTTTTTTTGAGTTATTGAATATGAAATGTAATATACACTATATATATTAAAAATATTATTTAATATTAAAACATGTCTTAAGATACCAAAATTTAAACTTTTTTAAAATTGACATATCAGATTGTCGTATAGTGTTGTGTTGTGTCACGTGTCGGTATCGGTGCTCAAACCGAACAAGTCATGTAATTGATGAATCGTTGAGTATATTAAAAAATATTATTTCTCATATTTAATATAAGTGTTTTAAATAAATATTTTGACATTATTAATTCTAATGTTTATTTTTCATTCATAGGATAAGGATGAGTGCGATACTTTCCCATAAAAATAAGGATAAGTACTTACTTTCTACCTTTAAAATAAATAAATTTGGAAAATAAAGTGTGATACCCTGTGTCGACCTGGTTCCTTATTCTTTAAGGTGTAATAATATTGATATATGTTCTTAGAGAAAAATATAAATCATTAAAAAGTTCATCATTCAACATTTTAAGATTTTGTGTTGAAGTGATTATGTACATGGTATCAGTGACCATAACGTCACGAATTCAATCCTCACCGTTACCCCATTTTCAAGTGGAATTAAATAAGCACAAGGTAATATAAAATAGAATAAAAAATTGTGCCTGTGTAATATCACATTTTAAGCCTAAAAAACTCATGCGTGAAAGAATGTGTTAAAAAATAATATAAATCGTGTAATATCTTCAGATTTTGGGTTAAAATGATTATATATAACAAGCGGAAAGATACCCAGCAGCATTAACGCCGATACTCTACAATAGTTGATGCTATTCAAGAGGACTCGCCTAAACCTCTTTTTATAACTAACATTAATATAGGTTAATACATAAATATCTAACAATAATTTATCAATCAGCCACAAGCACAACATTAAAATATTATAATTGTCAATTTTCGACGATGAACAGAGAATAAAAAACTGGCAATGTATATGAGCAATTAGAAACAGGGAGTGTAGCTAATATCCTCAAATTCTAAGATTCGGATACTAGACATCCCATAAAATGAAAGAGATATCTTATAGGCCAATTTTTGACAAGAAATGAAAGAGATGTAAATTTTACGAAACATCCCATACAAACCTAACAAAGAAGGAAGTACGAATTTTATGCGGTCTTGGATCTTTTAAAAACTGGGACCAACCCCTTTTTTCTAAAAATTCTAAGACTCCAAATTCAGAAACTAGACACCATGAAAATCGAATTTTTTTTAAAACAAAACTCTCTTTTTTTAATACATGTTAACACAACTCTAGTTACGGAGCTTTTGACATGAGTCACATGACTGCCCAAGCGATTTAATTAAATTAACAATGAAGTCTTTCGAGTCTAAAGACAACGAAATTATATAGAAATTCAGCCTTCAACGTAATCAAAGTCTTGATTTGTTATGCTAACTTAGATTAAGGAAGTTAAAACCCTTTATCCTTAGCAACCATTTACAAGCGTTGAAGTGTTTTGGTTATTTATTGGGGTTCCCTTGCAAACTAGAAATGATTCCTCTAATTGAGTGATCATCATTCCCTCTAAGCTTCATTTTTTAACTTCCTTGACATTCACTGAAGTAAGCTCATCATGCTTACTCGGGTAAATGGGCTTTACTCGAATAAGTGTCCTTAAAATAATAAATGCTAACCAAATATATTTTTAATTTATTCAAAAATAACATTCCTAATCATAATCCATTGCATTCGAGAGGAATGATACTTCTTTTAAGAGCTAAAGAGTTAAGGTAACAAATGCAAACAGCTCCAATTGTATTGCCTAACAATGGCCTCTGAAAATATGAACATTAAGCACAACATCTTCTCAGTTGATGAGCTCAAAGACACAAAGCTAGCTGTCCACCTACCAATTCAATTTCTAATGCAAATAGGGATCAACCACTAGACAATATATCATAATTCTTGTGTGGATAACAGAGCAACTTTACTGGACATAATTTGTTTTCAAATTGTAACATCACATTCTGCATCTTGTTCTTGAAGTACTCTTCGAGGAAGGCAAGTGGTACAGGCTGCATCATGTTATACGAAGTTTCCGCACATCATATATATGAAAATAATTGAGCCATACGGTCTAAATTCATTAGGAATCAAAATGTTGTATGAAACTATTAAGTTGGTATCTTGGCATGTTAATCTTATACCAATACAAAAAGTTTTACACTCAATATTTGTCATTAATATGCTTATATCTAATAATTTACGTGATTACAAAATTAGAGTCGTTAAATATAAATCAGATAATAACCAAGATAAAAAATACAATTTATACCAGTGTAAAATAATCTAACTAAATATATATAATTTGGTGTTAAACCTTACCCGTCTTTGTCGATCTAGATATCTTGGTGTTATATATTGATTGCGAAAGAGGGATTTTTTGAGGCAAATTTATTTTCTTCTTTCATAACTCCATTTGTGAAGGGGCGGGGAGTAATCAACGGTGAAGATCTTCGAGTTGACTTAACACCTGTGCATTGACAACAAAACCATCTAGTTTAAGGATTAGCTCCGTTTGTTTGTTTTTTATTCCTATGATAAGGTGTAAGTATCTTGCTTTGTCATCAATCTCAAAGTTAATGTTAAAAACTTAATCTGAAAAGCTTTACCGGCCAAGTGATCCCTTAGACTGATTAATCAATTAATCAATTAACCAGTAGAGGAATTTAAGAAGAAAAATAAAATTTTGATAGTTATCTTATACTCTCACATTTGTTTTTTCATCTTAATTTTGAGATTTCATTTTCTGAACTAATTTTGAAAAATATTCTAAAAATAATAAATACTAACCTTGGCCTCTAAAAATATGAACATCAATCACTGCATCTTCTCTGTTGATAAGCTCAAAGACACAAACATCTCCACCTAACAATTCACTTTCTCTTGCAAATTGGGACCAACCACTAGAAAACATAGCTGAAGAGTTGTGTCGATAGCAGAGCAACTTTACAGGCCACAATTTCTTTCCAAATTGTAACTTCACAATCTGTCTCTTGTTATTCAAGTACTCTCTGATGAAGGCCCTTGGTACATGCTGCATCAAGTTATATTTTCATCACCATGATAAGATCACAGCCTAACCTAACAGTTAATGTAAGTATAACAATAACTACAAGCTTGCTGCTTGCTTGGTATAAATTTTCCATACAGATATATATGTATTTAATTTGATCAGTGCTTAACTTAACCTCACCGGTCTAAGTCCCGCCTTAATATTGAATGTGAAAAAGGGATTTTCTGAGGCAAATTTATTAGCTTCTTTCAGTGCTTCGTTTGTGAAGGGGCAGTGAGTTGCCTTCTCACCTGTGGCATGGCAACAAAACCAATTAGTTTAAGGATTCACTCTGCACAATTTTAAAATATCTATATTTGCATTTTTACTTTATTCAACCTTAGCTTTTCATAAGGAGTAATAACCACCACTTGTTCACACAGCATTGATGTTTAAAATTTACCTTTTCTAGTAACAACAGTTTTATTTTCCACATCCACGACTCTCTGAGAATCTAGCCAATTGATTCCCTCTCTTTGAACTGATTCTAAGGAAGAAAATTACAACCATCACTGTGCAGATCAAACAAAACAATACTTTGAAAGGAAGACCAACTTAGAATTTAACTGTGACTTGGTTTAAAGTTTCTTGAACAAGGGTATGTTAAGAAAGTTTGAGCACAGAAACCCATGAAATACATGAAATAAAATGAAAAGGATAATCCAATCATGAGATACATACCATCCGATTCTTTCTTTACAGATGCAAATTTAGACTTCTCAAAGTTTGTGCCTTCAGTTTGGACTTGCTGGGGCAAGTTTTGCTCTGTGGATCTTCTCATAACATCTCCACTTGTGTCAGTTCTTGATTTTTTACGTGGTTGAGGAGAAGACATTGGTGATTTTTCTCTAGTCTTATGGCATGGTGGTATCTCATCCAAAATTTTAATCGAGTCATCATCACTCATCTGGTCAAGGTTGTCCTGTGCATCTTGAGGGACATGCAAAGGATAATCTATTTCAAGGGTACTCTTGTCAAATATGTGTACCTCAAAATTACAAGTTTGCTTGTATTCAAACAACACCAAATGACCATGATCCAGGGAGTAATATGTGGCAAATGCTATCCAACCCCTTTGAAGCCAAGTAACACCATCATGTTTAGTCCAAAATACTTCCCATTCAGTGCCATCTGGAGGCTTAAGAAACATTGGGTTTGACATGTCACCACCATATTTCCTAATGAAATTGTTTGGGATCTTCTGCAAAGAACTTTCTGTTAGCATGCATAATGAAATTCACAGGCATATATAACAGAGAAATTCAAATGTACCTGACAATAAAAATTCAAAAACAAAAACATAATAAAACAAATGAAAATACACGGAGAGAAAAAGGAGAAGAAGGAAAGAACGTTTACAAGCTTTCCTTCTTGAAGACTTGTTCCAGGAATAATCTTGAAGAAAAGGATTGGAGTGGGGTGAGGGTGCTTACTCATTTTGTGTGTTTGCTCAGGGCAACAACCAGTAGATTTTATGATGTGTGATGAGTCAAATAATAAAATTTTATTATACCTTCACGAGACACTGGTCAAAATTTTGAATTCCCACGACATTTAATTGGGTCAACTTCGTTTTGTCCATTTAATTATTAACCATTTCAATGTGTAGCATTTCAAGCCCATTCAATTGTCTTTTGTTGGGATTCTTCTTTTATTTTTTATTGTGTGCCCTACTTGCGATTGCATTCATAATAAACCCAGTCTTCCCAATATCATCACTTGTACGATGGCATATTATTTTATTTTTTTGGTAATCACGATGGCATATTATTTCATTTCTATTTCACAAACAAATTATAATTTATTAAATTTGATAAAATTAAAATAATATTTTTAATAAAAAAAAAGTTATTAAATTAGGTTATTATCAATAGAAAAATAAAATTAAATCTTACAATTTTTTATGGGAAAAATATTTCTTCCATTATAGAAGTTAAAGTTATCTTATGCAACCTCAACGATATTATTTTAGGGTTTAGAACAAAATTAAATGATGTTTTAAAAATTTTATTTTCCTATTGTAATATATATTTTATTAAAATACCTTTTATTTTTTATTTAATATCCTAAAATGGTATTTTTTTTTATTTTGTGGTTACATGAAATAATTTTATCTCCTGTGACTAGAGAAATGTTAATCTCATTTTTTTATAGGATTTGTACCATCTGAAATAATAAATTCATATCAGTCTGCAAAAATATATATTTTACGTTCATTAGTGGAATTATATAATTTGAGGTGATGCTTGTCTTTTTTTTTTTACCAAAAAAAAAACATTGATATCATGAAGTATTTTTTCTTTCAAAAGTAACTTTTTGATTAATTTAAAGATGAACAATCATGTAATGTGTAAATGATTATTGTTTCTCCTGTCAAGAGATAAAATTATCTCCTGCAGTCTCAAAACTACATCATTTCGAGGGTTAGGAAAATTAATAAGGGTGTTTCAGTAACTTTATTTATTTTTTTATTATATGAATTTTATCAAAATATATTTCATTAATTTTCTAGCTAGCCCTCTAAACAACATAGTTTTGTGGTTGCAGGAGATAATTTTATCTCTTGCGATACGAGAAACAATATATGCAAAATATATATATATATATATATATATATATATATATATATATATATATATATATATTGTGAAATAATAGAAAATTGGAAGAATCGTGGAGATAGTAACAGGTAAAAGAGATTGTATTAAAAAAGGTAAAAAAGACGAGTAGAGAGAAAAGGGAATATATTCTTCTTGTATTATCATGTCACTTGAAGCTTTGTACATGCATTTATTTATAGGCTCACAAGACAAGATACATTACAATAGAATAAATGAGCAGAATTACACTTCTTCAATGTTTACAAATTTGGATTAAATATCCAACGGTCATGTCCAACGGATATATTTCTTTGAGAGTTATGGACATCCACAATAATATTATTTATAACACTCCCCCTTGTATATCTATTAAGATAATGTACCTCGTTAAAATCTTACTAGGAAAGCCTCCATGAGAAAAAATCATAGTGAAGGAAAAAGAGTATTTTTTTTTTAATAACATGTATTGCAAGCTGCCTCATTAAAAACCTTACCAGGAAAATTCAATGGGACAAAATATTGGTGAAGGAAAAAAGAGTGCTGACATATTTTACTCCCCCTGTTGATGACATCATTTAATGTCTCTGAGTCTACGAATCTTAGTCCCATATATCAGCTTGTTGTGCTTCCACTTGTAATCAAAATCTTGTTTGGGATTTACCTTTGTGTGGTTCAAGTAAATAACTTGCATTATTATTATTCTAGTATCTTCGTGTTGGAGAAGAGTATGATCCTGCTAATAGACTTACAAACAAGAAAGAAAATGTGAGGGTAAAAGGGAAGAAGATGTGGGGTTAGAAAGTTAAACGTCCACTTTATTCATATTTTCATAGCTCCTCCTTGGATGTTCACCGTTTATTATACGCTAATAAGATTGCCTCATTAAAAACCTTCCCAAGAAAAATTCAGTGGGATAAAACTTTGTAAAGGAAAAAAGAGTACAATTCTGATAATTATCCCTCTGAATATTTATTGTAGTTATCATATGAGTACATATCATCATAGTATTTCCCCATTAAGTGAGCCATATAATTAATCTTCTTTATCACTCTATATATTATGCCCTGATTGAATTGATATATGGCATTTGAAGACCAGTAAATTATTTTTCATGGGGTTGAAATGGATATTTTATTTATGTCAAACGATCTCATAACTACGTCTTTATTTCTTCAACCCATTTAATGATAACTGAAGCTTTATTCAACAAATTTTCTAAGAATTTTTATATGCTTCAAGCATTTTGGACCCTTCTAGGATATAAGTTTCACTATCGGTCGAATAAGTCACATAAATAGGCTATAATAACATCTATTAGACGCATGTCAGCCTTTCATGAACTGCCAGACTAACAAGATATTTGAAGGTGATTGCATCAACCACAAGAGAATATATTTTCATATAATGAATGCCAGGCTTTTGCAAAAATTTTGTGCTACAATAACTTCATTTTTCTCATTATAATTTTTGGACATTTGTATTACGCCTTCATGTGCTTGGATTATAGGTCCAAAAACTTTAAATTGGATCCAATTGTGCTTGAATTGTGTCTTTATATTTTGCCAATCATTTCTCTATTTACATTCCTTTGTGGAGGTTTAGGTGGAAGAACACCAGAGAGAAACGACTCCTTCTCGAAGGTCTCTTGGAAGCACTCTTTGGATCCATGAAGTGTTACCTATGAGAAATGGCTCCTTTGTGGAGGTGTTTGGGTAATTACAGTGGAATTATGGTGATGTATGTATTATTATATATTGTTGTTATTATATATGCACATTGATTGAACTATTGGGTGGAGTGACCTCTAAAAACTCTCGGTTTGCTAAGATTGTTATCTCACCACGTGTTTAGGGGACCACATTTCAGGTAATACTGACAGTGCTTGAGCATCTCGAGGCAAGAGACCCGAGAGACTTGTTGAGATTATTTATGTTGAGACATGCATTTTGTGGAAGATTACATGTTGATATGATGTAGTCACATTTGTATATGTTTATATATTCAGGTATTGGGAGCCTATGATCATTATCCTTTGTATCTTCATGTTGTTGAATTATACAAGGACTTTGATCATGTGTTTTGTAATAGTTAAGTTCCTAGTGATGTATTTTGGAAACAATATATATTTTGAGACATTGATGTATTATGTTTGGACATTATGCATTTATATAAGAAAAAATTTTATTTTCACCCACTGTGATTTTAAGATTTATCACTTGACCCTCAATGATTATAAACTTGTCACTAAGATTCATTGTGCTTAAATAATTTACCATTTAACCCTTTGTGGTTTCAAATTTTTAGTTACACTCATTGTGGTTATAAAAATATATCACTTAGACCCCTTGTGGTATTATAAATATAAAAAATATTTACTTGTTCTAAATTATATTTTATATAATTAAGATACTATCAAATAAAATTGTAGTAAAATTAATAATTAAATATTAAATTAAAAAATAATTCAAGTTATTTTTTTGAAATTAATTTATAAATTATCTTAATTTTTTATTTATTTTAAAAAAATATTTTTAAAATTAAGAAAATATTATTTAAGATAAATTACATATGTATTATCAAAATAAGATATTTACTTTCTTTAGATAATTTTATAACGATATCAGGTAAAAAATAAATAAAATAAGATAATATTTGATTTGAATTTATTTTCATTGTAAAAATAAGTGAATTTTTTTAAATTTTTTTATTTGCCTTAAATGCATTAGATAAGGATATAAAAAAAAAAGAGTGGATTAAACAATAAATTATTTAAGCACAATGAGCCTAAATGACAAGTTTAAAACCATAAGGATGAAATGATAAATCATAAAACCACAATGGGTGAAAATGAAGTTTTTCCTTTATATAATGGAATGGCTCTTAAGCCTATTATGATATTGTAAGACTTTGGATATGGGCACTTTATTCATAATTGGAGAAGTAGCGTAATTGGAATTGCATGGAATGAATGTTGTCATTTATGCTAAGTTAGGAATATAATAATTTCCAAATCAAGTATTAAAAGAGAGAGAACTTGTGAAGCAAGAAAGAGGCATAAATTGATGTGTGAATTGGGATGTAAGTACCCCATGTTTGTTGGGTATTGGGTAGCCATTCCATGACTATTAGGTTCCTAAATGGTGTGCCAAAACTTGAGAGATTAGAGTCAAGGAACAAAAAGAACCACATAAGTGCTGGTTTCGCTAGCAGACTTGCTCGCTTGAGCGAGCAGTCCCGCAACTAAATAAATTAGTGACAATAGCCACTGTCTGGGCAGCGGAGAGCTCGCGGACATGCTTGCTTGAGTGAAAGAGTCCCGCGAGCTATGCCTTGAGTTCCAAGAAATCCCTGTTGATGCAATTGAAAACAAAGCATTGCTCGGGCAAGCTCGCTTGAGCGAACAAGTCCACGAGGAAATAGGGTAGAGACAGTAGCCACTACCTGGGGAATTAATTGCCCGTGACTCTCATCTCTTAAGCGAACTGTGCGGCGAGAAAAAGCGTTTGCTCGCTGAGAAGCTCGCTTAAGCGAGAAAGTTAGCGAGCAAAGAAAATTGTTGAAAGTGGAAAATAAGGCTATTTGATGTATGGGAATCTCATAGTTATGATTTGTAACAATTGTATGACATGTTTAAGCTAAGACTAATTATTCTACACTGTGTATGAGTTATGATTATAATTTTCAATTGTTTTAGATACGAAAAAGATTTTAATTAGAAATTGATAATCGTTTAAAAGGAAAAAATTTAGCTGTATTTTAATTCAAATGTTGTGACTGTAACTAAGCTTCATATCGTAGGTTATGATAACAAACCGGTGTACAATGGAGTGTTACAAAAAGAGTCATAATTAAGGTGATAAGATGAATCTTGATGGTTATGCTTAAATAGCAAACACAATTGATTGTGACAACTCAAAAATATCTATGCACAAGAATCTCAATCATGAATGATCAAGTTATTTTGACTAGCCAATCATTAGAAGGAAAAATTAGATACCTAATTGTATTCTCAACTCTATTTTATGAATTTTTTTTTTTAATAGTAAACTCCTATTTAACATTGGGAATGCATGATGACACTAAATATTATTTTTATTTTATTTTTATGTTATAGTACACATCTCAAGATTTCTAACAAAGTATAGATCAATGAAATCAAAGTTCTACAACTTAAGACATGACCAGTTAAAGTATGCAACTAAAAATAGAGTAATCAGCAATCCAGTACATTGACAGATCAAATAAGAACAGTTACAAATCCAAAAAGTATGAAATTTTCCATTCTTAAAGCTTATTAAGTTAACTTTTGAATGCCACTGGTTTCAGGGAAAAAAGGATTCATACAAATCATGTTATGACTATTTAAAGTTAACTAGTTCAAAATAGAATTTAGAACTCAACACCCACTTTCACAAAAAATTTGGGAACAATGTGTTAAGGAAAAAATTATAAAAATCTTCAGAATCAAACTTGATCATCCTAGCTTTCAATAGCAACTAGTTTCATCAAAAAATAATTTTGCTAGCTCAAGATATGAACAAATTAGCTCAGCAATGTCAAAATTCAGCACACCAGCAAACACACATGATTAAGTTGATATACTACCAATGTTATGACCATGTGCAATAATGATTTTCAGCTTAACATTATGCTTTAATCCCTTGACATAATAAACATTATCAATAGAGTGTGCAGGTTACTTTTGAACTTTACTTATGCCCATAATTTTACCTTTGTGGTTGTCACCAAAAGTCATACATCTATCTTGGAATGGTTTAAGTGAGAGAAATCTGAAAACATCTCTTGTTATATTCTTAGAACATTCGTTGTCAAGGTACTATAAGTTGTTCTCCTTCACTCCAACCTGCATTCTTAAATCAATGATTAGATATGGGAACCCAGACTAGCTTAGGTCCCTTCCTCTTTGCAACCAAATTAGAAAGCTCATCTTTTCTAATCTAGATTTGTTTTACCTTGCATGCAAAACAAAGCTATTTTTAAGGTATGACACATTCTTTTGAATAGCTTTTGTCCTAGCCTTGCACTCAAATTTTAGATGTCCTATATCGCCACAATGATAACACACCCTATTCTCATACAAGTTCACATGCTTAATTTTGGTTTTCCAAGCAGATTTCTTATTTCCTTCAAATCCTAACCCATGCCTAGATTATTATAATTCTTGTTCAACCAGTCAATAGCATTAGATTTATTTGCCTTGGGCTCTTTCTATTTAGCCAATTCTTTTACTTTGCCTTCCAATCACTCAATCTCTTCATCCATTTGAGTATTACTTATTATAACACATTCCTCTTTCTTAGTTTCTTGCAATTTCTCTATCAAAGAGGAATTCTTGCTTTCTAGTTCAGAAGTAGTGTTATTAAGTCTAATGATCTCCTCCTCAAGACTATCATTTGATTTATTTAGATCTTTGTTATTCTTAAAGAAGTTCTTAAGCTAATTCTTCATTTCACCAAACCATCTAACAACTCATCATTGTACTCACTCATTTTCAAGTATTCATCTATTACAAAATCTAATTCTTATATCAAATGCTTCTTGGACAACTTATGCATGGATGATCTTAGCTCATGAAAATATACCTCATGATCTTCAATCTTCATCTTCAGAGTCAGTTCTAGCCATAAGACAAATATTTGTTTTAGTTAGGGGTGTTCGCGGTTTGGATTCTATCAGTTTTAAAAGCAAAAATCATATGATCCAATCCCTTTGGTTTGATCATGTAATCATCTATTCAGTTTATATTTTTTTTCAAATTCGATCCAATCCAATCCAATTTTATTCAGTTTGGATTAGATCAGTTTTTGATTTTTTGAAAAACCTAAAATTTGTTTGATAATTATTGTGCAAAAATATCTTTTGTATGTATTTGCTTTGTAAAGTTTGTTTGATGATTATTGTGCAATTTAGAAGCATCAGTAAATGGTAATCTAATTTTCAATATAGTACAACAAAAAGTTGAATTACCATCTTTTACCTCCAACAAAATATTTACAATATGGTTGCTGAGATACAAATTAACCCAAATTTTTATCCTACAGAATAACTGTTGTACAACAATATTATATGCAATAAAAATATACAATATATCTTACCAAAAAAATATAACATAGATCAAACACAACCCACTTTCTCCAACATGATAGGTTAATGGGTCTTGGGTTTAGAATTTTACTATATGATTTTTGGGCTATGATTTGGGAAAAGCCCAAGAAAGTAGAGGGTAAGATTGGGGAATTATTGAATCGGTTTGGATTGGATCGCTTTTCACCAACCAAACCGAAAACCAATCCAATCCAGTTAAATTTTGCGATTTTTTTCGATTTTTGATTTTTCGATTAATTCGGTTATCGGTTTTTCGGTTCGGTCACCGCGGTTTGGATTGGTTTGGATCGGTTGATGAACACCCCTAGTTTCAGCTTCACTACTTTCAGAGCCTTCTTTTGATTCAGAGTCACTTCAAGAAACCATCATTGAAGTCCTTCTCATTGGTACTTTCATGAGTCACCTCTAGGAGATCCCACATTTGTTTAGCGGTTTTACATTCCATTACTCTGTTGTACTCTTATGTTCTAATGCCACAATGAAGAATTTTCTTGGCTTGTGCATTGAATTCTAGCTTTCTCCAATCTTCATTAGTGTATTCAGCAGTGGGCTCTGGTACGATGATTCTGTTTTCATCTTTCTTTGTGATATGGAAGTCTTCGTTTTCAATCACGTTCCACACTTGATAGTTGTTAGCTTTGATGAAAATCTCCAACTTGTTCTTCCTGTAATTGTAGAATTTTCCTTTGAATAGAGGAGGTCTTTGAGTGGAGAATCCTTCCTTGATGCTTTCCATTAGGTTCATCTTGGGATCTACTATTTCAGGAGTTACCAGCACAGATAAGAGAACACATCTTTGGTACCAATTATTGGTCCCGGATGAATTGAAGGGGGGTGAATTAAGTTTATTAAAAAAATTTCAACTTAAAAAAACATAACTGTGATAAAGTAAGAGTAAAGAGAAGTGACACAGTTATTTTAACGTGGAAAAAACTCGAGCTGGAGAAAAAAAAACTCACAACCCCAATTTGGATACCTCTATCCAATTAGGAGACAAATCCACTTTCGATCAATTTGAAATATAAGAATTAACCCGAAACCTTACCCCCAAGATTTTCGGGATCCTACCCTTAGGATTCTTACGGAGTCTAATCAAAGACTCTCTGAAGCAAAACCGCTCTCGTCTTTATTCGCAATGAACAAAGACCGACTTATTTCTAAGCCACGACCTTTTCCAAGGTCAAAAAAAAAATTCAATTAAAATTGGTTACCTTACACGCTTCTAAATAATAAGAAAATAGGTACATATAAAACCTAAGTGGTGGACTCAACCAATCTGCTCATGCATTGGTTCCCAAATTATTTTGAATGCGCTATAAGAAAAAAATACTCATATTATGCTCAATGCGCTTTTTCTCTTGAATGCATAAAAGCTTTTTTCTCTTGAATTCTCACCCACACTTTGAAAAAGGACTCAACATATGAGATTTATAGATTTTTTCTCAAAATCAATTATTAAGGAAAAATCTCAAGATTATCATGATTTTTAAGAAAACTTTCCAAAATATCTTTTTTGAAAACAAAAACAAAATCATCAAATTAACATTCCAAAAATAGATAAAATCAAATCAAATCTTTTAAAAAGGAAATTAATCTCAAATTAACTTTTTCTTTTTCAAATCAAAAATCAAATCTTAAAAAAATTATTTTTGGATTAAAAATAAAGCTTTTAAATCTTCTTTACTTAATTTCCAAAACTTTAAAGATTCTAACCAAGGTATGATCAGGATTCACCTCATCCAATCATTACATGAAATCTAATATTTTATCTTGCATCTTCGATTTTCACGATTTCATGACAATTGTATTACATTCTCTTCATCATAATTCAACACAAATTAAATCTTGCAATAACTTTTCAAAAACTAAACAAACTGATAATTTGGCTTCACTTACTTGTTATCGTCAAAATTAGACAAGGTATATATCTTTTTAGTGATTTTATCCTGTGCCGGAGTCATGTGATTATGTTGATGTGCGAATGTAATTGAACTGCCACTTGATTATTTGTATTTGGACCTAAGCTATGGATTCAAGAGGACTGTAACAACATGAATTTGATTTACTCAAAATCAAGAGGGCATAGGTCAATATAGGGATGCTCTGCTATTTTGAAGACAGAATGAATATATGTATCTAAACTAGAACTATAATAGTATATGGACAGAAATGAATTCAACGAAGTGAGTTCCTTAATATGTTGTACAAGATCAAAAATTCATGAGTTAATTTTAATTTGGAGTGGGAACAAAATATTAACTTATTAAATCTAATTATAGAAAGAAAAAAGAAAAAACTTTGCACTTCATAAAAACTTTGCCACCACACTGTTGGATCAGGTACTGCCTGTTGGTCTTCCGCATACTACAACTACATATGCTTGAGCTTTCATATACACATTCTCTACTCTCTTTCATTTACTTTCACGAGCTTATATGAAAAATGATTTGAGCCTCATAGTACCTTGTTGGTCCTCCCGCACCCCATCGTCAGCTACAATCAAAGGAGATCTATGGAGGACACACATTTCATTCTGGTCAATATTTGCAATAAAAAGGACGTCTACGCTTTTGGCATCTTTGATGACAATAGGGATATCATCCTAGTTGTACAGAAATTGCTGCTCTTGCTGCCATTAGATAGCTCAAAAATTGACTATGATGAAACCATGAGTTTTGTTGAGCAAAATCAAACAAGGTTTAATAATCGTCAGGTAGAATTCCTGCCACAATAATGTGTGTAATTATGACAACCTATAGGCCCTAATGATGTGAAGATAACATTCATAGTTATAATATTAATTAACTACACCTCCTAAGGATTAAAACTACAATAAAATGACAATTTTACCTATACATATTAAGAGTTTCAGCACTAACAGCTCCAATTAGGGATTGCCTAAGAGTGGCTTCTGAAAATATGAACATCAAGCACTGCCTCTTCTCTGTTGATGAGCTCAAACAGACAAACATCTCCATCCACCATTTTACTTTCCCTAGCAAATACGCTCCAACCACTAGAAAACTTCCCACTAATAGAAACTTTGTGTGGACGATAGTAAAACTTTACAGGCCACAATTTCTTTCTAAACTGTAACTTCACAATCTGCGACTTCTCATTGAAGTGCTCTCTGATGAAGGAACGTGGTACATTCTGCATCAAGTCATATTTTCATCACCATGAGATCACAGCCCAACAGTTAATGAAAGTATAAATGTAACTAACTACATTTTCTCTGCTTGCATGGAACAAAGTTTCCATGCATAGATATATGTATTTAATTTGCTGATTAGCCTAACTAAACCTCACCGGTCTATTTCCCAGGCTAAAATTGAACGTGAAAATGGGATTTTCTGAAGTGAATTTTTTAGCTTCTTTCAGAGCTCCATTTGTCAAGGGGCATGGAGTTGTCTTCCAACCTGTGGCATGGCAACAAAACCACTTAGTTTAAGGATGCACTTAGCTCAATTTTGAAATATCTATACTTGAATTTTTACTTTATTCAACTTCAGCTTTTCATAAGGATAATAAGATATGAATAACCAATTGGTCACAGTCACACTGCATTGATGTTTAAGATTTACATTTACTTGCAATAATAGTTTTACTTTCTATCTCCTTGAACTGATTCCAAGCAAGAAAATTACAATCAATACTGTGCAGATTAAACAGAATAATACTTAAAAAGAAAGACCGACTTGGATTACCTTGGACTGGAAGGGAATGGGGTTCTTCTGCAAGTCTAAAGATTTGTACTTTGAAAGAAAGGCCTTGGCTCTTGGTCAGCTCAAAAAGACAAACATCCCCCACTTTCAAATTATTATCTGATACAAATTTCTTCCATCCAGCATTAATTTTGCCCAGTCTATAATCACAATGCCAAGTTCCCCCATCCAAGCCCTGAAGATGGATATTCCCTTCCTTTTTCTTCAAATACTTTTCAGCAAATTGGAATGGGATATGCTTGGATTTTTATTAATTTATTTCAAGTTAGAAAATCAAACAACTAAAAAGTTATATTTCTACTTCAAACAAAAGATAAGAAACCATCTTAAGGGATAAAAATGAAGCAAATCAAAAGCTCACCAATCGATGCTTATCAAGATAGGAAGGCTTCATGACAATCGTGAAAGAGGGAGTTTTAGATCTGAAGGTTTTGGCTTTCTTTAAAGCTTCAGTTCTTTTAGAAGTCAACTGCTCCACTATTAGGCTTTCAGCGGTACCATCCATTTCCTCTGACAAATTGAACAACATGCGATTTCATGTAAATTTGACATCAAAAATTCAACTGGATCCAAGAAATGGAAAGGAAAATCCAATCATGAAAAACATAACATCCGATTCTTTTGTTAAATAAGCAAATTCAGACTTCTCGAAGTTTGTCCCGTGAAACTGATTACCCTTAATTTGGACATGCTGAGGCAACTTTCGCAAAGTGGATCTTCTTTCAACATCCCCACTAGTGCCAGTTCTTAATCTTTTACATGGTCGAGGACAAGACATTGGTGCTTTCTGTCTAGCCATACGGCACGGTGGTCGCTCATCAAAACTTTTGACTGAGTCATCATGAATCTGGTCAAGGTTGTCCTGTTCAGTGGTACAAACCATATCCTCTGAAAAATTGAAGAACATGGTGTATGTTATGAAAATTTGACCTCAAACTCAACTGGATCAATGAAATGAAAAGGATCATCCGATCATCAAATAGATACCATCTGATTCTTTCTTTACAGATGCAAATTTAGACTTATCAAAGTTTGTACTTTGTCCTTCAATTTGAACATGCTGAGACAGGTTTTGGTCAGCTGATCTTCTATCTACATCTCCACTTGTGCCAGTTCTCAATTTATTACGTCGACGAGGACAAGATATTGGTGATTTCTGTCTAGTCTCATGGCATGACGGTAGCTCATCCGAAATTTTAACTGAATCATCATTAATCTGATCAAGGTTGTCCTGTACATCTTGAGAGTCATGGAAAGGATATTGTATTTCAAGGGTACTCTTGTCACATATGCGTACCTCAAATTGAGAAGTTTTCTTGTATTCAAACAACACCAAATGACCATGATCTAGGGAGTAATATGTAGCAAATTCTTTCCAACCCTTTTGAAGCCAAATATCACCATCTTTTTTAGTCCAAAATACTTCCCATTCAGTGCCATCTGGAGGCTTGAGAAACATTGGGTTTGGCATGTTACCACCATATCTCCTAGTGAAATTGTTTGGGAGTTTCTGCAAAAACTTTCTCTTAGCATGCCTAGTTAAATTCATAAGCATAACAGAGATATTCAACTGTACCTCACAATAAAAATACCAAAAAAAAAAAAAAAAAAGAGATGAAGGAAGGAATTTTTACAAGCTTTCCATCTTGAAGACTTGTTCTAAGAATAATCTTGAAGAAAAGGATTGGAGTGTGGATAGTATGCTTGTTTTGCGCGTTGCAATGATAAGTCATGGATGTTGGTACTTGAGTTCTCCTTCCTTCTCTTTCTCTCTGTGTGCCTATTCTACTTGTAACTAAGATCTTGAACCTTACATTGAAAAGATCTTCTTGTTTCGCTTTTATGGAGTATTAGTAAAAAATTTGAATGCATGAACGAAAAGGCAAACATTTCATTGGTTGCACTTATCTCGAAGTAGTATCTTATCATTTTTCTATGTGGTCCTCTTGTTGTTGGTTCCCTATTCTGAACAAACGGTGTCTTGTCCACTCAATAAAGTAAAAGCCAATGACTCCAAGCTAAGCAAGCGGTCCCCCCAAGGCCCCAAGGCCCCAACCATGTTACGACTTTTATGTTAACCGGTAAAAGTTTACGGAAAAATTGTTTCTACTTCTAAACGACACAACTTATATTCTTTCACTTTTATAAAGGAGTGAAATTCATATTTTTATATTTTTTTTGTTTACTCTATTTGCTTATTTATCTATTTTTTTCTCTCACTTAAAATGACATAATTTTATATCTTTTTAAAATGATACACATTTTTTCCAAAGTTTAAATAAGCCATGTGATTTATTTTCAGGGAGCATTTTGGGAGAGAAGACATTTTTTTTTATTGAAAAAAAATCTCAAGAAATATGATAGGAAATTTTCTTTTCTTTTTAGGTAAGTTACAAAATTGTGTTTGGTAGGTTCAAATTTTTTTGAAAAATATTGGGTTAATTATACTTATATTATGGAAAAATTAAAAAATCATGCATCAGATGGTATTTTCATTTAAGATTCTGTAGTTAAAATTGAAATGATTAGTGGTGTTCGCAGTCTGGATTGGATCAGTTTTGGAAGTAAAAATCATCTAATTCAATCCCTTCGGTTTAATCATGTAATCATCCATTCGGTTTGAATTTTTTTCCACATCTGATCAGATCCAATTTTATTTGGTTGGGATTGGATCTGTTTTCGATTTTTTAAAAAGCCTAAGATTTGTACGATGATTATTTGGTAAATAACATATCTTTTATATGTATTAGCTTTGTAAAGTTTGTATGATGATTATTGTGCAATATGGAAGCATTGTACAACAAAAAGTTAAATTATCATCTTTTACTTTCAATAAAAAATTTATAATGTGGTTGCCTGAGATATGAAGTAACCCAAATTTTCATCCTATAGAGGAGCTGTTGTAGAACAATGACCTATGTAATTAAAACATATTATGTATCTTACCAAAAAAAAAAAACATAACATAAATCAAACACAACTCACTTTCTCCAACATGATGGGTTAATAGGGCTTGGATATAGAACTTTGCTATATGATTTTTGGGCCATGATTGGGGAAATGCCCAAGTAGGTAGATGGTAAGGTTTGGGAATAATTAGATCGATTTGGATTGGTTCGGTTTTCATCAACCCATCCGAAAACTGATCTAATTCAATTAGATTTTGTGATTTTTTTCGATTTTTGATTTTTCGATTTTCGGTTCGGTTACCGCGGTTTGAATCGGTTTGGATCGGTTGATGAACACCCCTAAAAATGATGGGGCAAAAAATTTCCCGAGAATATTTTTTGTTTTCTCGTACCAAGCGTTGGAAAAAAATTTACTCCACCTAACTTTCCATGGATTTCTAAAAATATCTATATACCATAGAGCCACTTAAGGTGGTTTATAACGGATAATTTTTTTTTACTTGGAATTATGGTTATCAAAATTATATTGGGAAAGTAAACTTTTGAAAATGTGATTAAAAAACTGTTTGATCGATAAAATTATTACTCGAAATATTGACTCAAGTTTACTGATTCTATATTTGGTTTATTGTTAAATATTATTGGGAATGTTAAATTTTTTCAACATCCAGAATTCCAAGAATATCACCTCGTGGTAGTATTCTTACATGTCATTTTTCTATACAATTTATTCATAAATCAGAATCCCGAAAAAATTAGATTTTCAAAAAAAAAAAAAAATTCAAAAACCTTCTACTAAATGTGAGTAAATAGAATTCTCAATACCAAATTTCCGAAAATCCAAAAGAAATTCATGTACCAAAAAAGCCCCTTAATGAGTTATCCCTTGTGCTTTAATTTTTATAGTTTATTTTATCGTGTTTCTTCTAATCCAAATCTCTCTTTGATAGTGTTACAGTTTCTAATTATTATAACTATTTTAGCCTTCTTACAAAAATATATTTCTGCTACCTTTTTATCATCTTCTTTTCCAATTTTGCAAGAATTTTTCACTATGTAAAATTTTTACCATATAAGAGTGTTGCGGCCTCGTACCTTGGTGATGGAGCCATTACAGAACCAAGTTGGTTGCAGTATATGAGAGAGTGGGGTCCTACCATTATATATGATTCACATTTCGAAATAGAAAAGTTAATAAATCTGCTTCTATTGTTTGTTAGATTTTCTATGGAGAACTTAATTGAATTATTTCCAACAGAGCTTTAGGGTGAGGAGGGGCCAACCGGGCCAAAGGAGAAGGACAATTTGCTAGGAGATGAATATTGCTAGTTCTGTTTCTTGTTACCATCTCTTGCTATGTTTCTCTTCTACTAGCTATGTCTTGTGAGCTCTTGTTTTTCCACTCATTTTGATGGGAAAGGAATCCAAACTTATTAGTATCTTGCCACCTTGGTAATGGTATGTTGTGTTTATGACTAAGGTGGACCAAGACATCATCATCAATCATGTATCGATTGTAAAAGGAGGTGTACCTCAGATAGTAGCAACTCATGTCATTCTTGGTGGCGTGAAAAAACAAAAGCGCTTTGATGTTAGAGTTGCTTAAAAGAATATGTGTACATACAAAATATGAACATGTATAAGCCAATGTTATTGGCATTATAGACTTTTCTGGTCTCTTTTGTAAGATAATCTTGTTGCCGGTGCTTGGTAGGAGACACGAAAATTTTTGTTAGTGTTCCAAGGATTAGAGCAGGAATGTCTTTGACGCATTGTGGTTATATTACTTAATTCACTTCTATTCGTTTGCTTGCTCTATTCTGCCTAGGAAAGTTTACCAATGAACCAATGATGTGGGGAAAGGGATTCCTTGGGGCCATAACACATGATTGTAAAACACCCTTCTAAATTTTGGGGAAGAACATTACAAGGTAACTGAGGTATATTTTTGTAAAAAATGTAGAATACACGTGAACCTGACAAAGACTCATATTTTAGAAGATTCAATAAAAGATAATGCAAAAAGAAAAATTATCCAAATAAGAAAGAGAATCTTCTATTAATGACGATCTTATCCAGACAATTAAGCAGTTGGACATGGACCCTGATATTACTAAAATGTCCAGAAATACATTACTGCCAGGTAATTCATCTATAAACAAATGATTAAGTCAATAAGGTACACAAATTCTAAACTCTCTCTCTTATTTATCAGTGTGCACATACCTCACTTTTTGGCTATTTTGTTGTGCACAGTCATCTGCCTATCTTCAAAGATATCTTCTTCATAGATACCCAAGAGAGACACATAGATTGTAGATAGACATTATCAATCTCTGATTGAACATATAAGTCATAACAAGTTATATTAATTATAAACTCTAACACTATTAAGAAGACTTGGATAGAAAAAAGCACATGAAATAAATGAGAAAAAATAAAACATAGAAGATAAGTGATTCAGAAGCAAATGACGCGGGTATTTCAAACTTTACACTATTAACTATCTCATACTCTCAAACTGTTCCTCGGGAATAGTATGTTGTTGCATAGAGCCCAACATTTTATGAAGACAGCCACTTATAAGTAAGAGGCTCAAGAAGAAATCCACTTATCTATCAGACTATCAATCCACTTGAGGCCCAATCCACATGTATATGTTATTGCATTTTATTTTATTTTTTGGTAAACAGTGTTATTGGATTTTTTTTAATAAACTTTAATTTAAGAAATAAATAAATAAAATCTATATATAACGTTTTGTAGTGAAGTATTGTACACTATGATTAAATTCATTGTCACACGTTTTAATTTTTTCATGTAATTACTAATATTTATTTATGAAATTTGTAATCTCGATTTAAATGCCACTCTTTAAATAAATTTAAAATTTAAGCCGAATTCAATGTAAGTTCACTCAAGTACTGACTAATAAAAACAGAGAGAAAAATACACAATATATATGTCAAAGATAAATAAATTAATAGAATTTTTTTATATTCACATTGTTTTCTTGAATTCACTTCAATGTCATAACATATTAAACCTTAAGTGTTTTTTTTTCTTTGGCTTTGGAAAATAAACAATATTGCAAGGATGCGGTCAACTTTACTTATCCAGGTTACGAGTAGAGGTGTAAAGTGGGTGGCCCGCCCCACCATAAACTCGCTAAAAAATGAAGAAGACACTACATCATATATTGTGGCATTTTCAGAAAACGCTACCTTGACCAAACTCACACACTCTCTCGGTCAGTGTTAAGAAAATCGGACCGACCCGGTCGACCCGATAACCGATAACCGGTCCTGTTGAAGCAACGGACCGGCCATGCATCGAGACCGGTGCGACCCGGTCTGACCCGGCCGGTTTTTCATGAAAATCGGTGACCCAACCCGGTCCCAAAAAAAAATTATAATGGACATATTTGAATATTTTTTTGCTTATTGACTTACATAAGTTATGTACCTACAACATTAATATTATCTCAATTATGTACTATGCAGAAAATTTTGATTTGATTTATAGTTAGAGATGTCGTTTTCTGAACCTAAAGCCTCGTATCATGATCATTATATTTTTGTTTGATCTTTTATTGGATAATAATATGCGATTTATTATTTTTTATATTAAAATATTTGAAATTTTTATCATTTTTTTTAGATATTTGAATATGTTTATAATTTCTTAATATAAATTATAAAATTGCATATAATTATCGGGTCATGCGGTTGAACCAGTGACCCAATACCGTGACCGAGTCAATGACCGGGCCAATTTTAATAACATTGCTCTCAGTTCTCTTGTTGCATACCACGAAGAAGACAGCTGAAAATTGCTTAATGAGGTCTCTTTAATTCACTTAAGTGGGGTGCCATGTGTTTAAGTGTTTCCTTGGTGAAAAGACCAAAATGCATTTAATGAATCCAC